TAAAGCGTTTTCTGTGATTATTGTGTTTTAATTGTCTGCACAACTTGACACTGGAATAAGACACAAACGTTTTCTGTTCCATACTGTAAACACAAGTGAAATTCTATTTGGTCTGAACTGAGCTTCAGACTGATTTTAGGTCATGGACATAATTAATGATTTACTAATTACTCTTCTACAATGTCCCACATGTATTGGGCAAATCCTTGTTCTTCTGTGTCTTCATGCACCTGTGTCTCCATTGGTTCTTCTTCATCTTCATGATTTTCCTCCTGTATCAGCTGTGGCTGTAAGTTGCACAATCCTGCACAGATTGTCACAATGTCATCCACATTTTGAACTCTACCGGGAATAACTGTACTCAAAATCTTGAAGCATTTTAAATGTCTAATTGCTCGCTCTACATGTACATGTATTCGAACATTAGCCAGGCGACGTGTTTCAGTAACAGCAAATTCAGGAAATTCTTCAAGACCTTTGGTAAATGCTGGGATGGCCAGCTTTACTCCATGAGGCAAAATATCATCCATTGTAAACCGCCATCTGCTAAAATCTTGTCTCCCGGTAAAAGCTGGTCAATAAAGCCAGATTCTTTTGCAATAAAGACATCACTGGCTCTTCCTCCAAATCCATTTGGTGCAATACAGTATAAAGCCTATATGTATTGTGGCTTTCATAATTACTAAATGTTTGTGCTCTCTTTTTCAAGTTTTTGGCCTGTTGGACAAATACTTCTGTGCAATCAATGATGCACATTGCTCTTTGGTAATTTTTAGCAAAACTCTGAGGCCTAACCCTTTGAAGTTTGTCCCGTGAAGCCATAAAATTATGTTAAGCTTCATGAACTTGGCCATCAATGGTATCCATGCAGCAAAAATGTCACATGCTGTAGTTCAACTCACAGCAAAGTGTTTGCCTAAGTCAGTGAACATTAAACCAAGACGCAGTCTCACCAACACTAGCAAACTTTGGTCAGGTACTGTCATTTTAAATGTCATAGGTAGTGGAATGAATGCCACAAGAGCACTAACCAAGCCCCAAAATACTACTTTGCTTTATTAGCATAGTTTTAGCATAACAAAGGCATATTGTCATGCGATGCAAATGACCTGGAGAGCTCGATGTTTACTCCTAACTTGGGATCAAAATTAATTCGCGAACCTTCGCTGACTTCGCGAACAGTCAATTTTGAAGCCTGCCCTTAGTCCTGTGAAGAACTTGCTGTCCCTATCATCCATGTCATGGGCAGGCATAGCTGGTGCTGGATCAGTCTGGGTTGCAGAGGTCTTTGTTCTGGTATTACTCTCATACATGTAGGTGTGGTCTGCAATATCTGGCCACTGGGTGCCAGCCTCGACTTTCTGAGGTGGCATATCTTGAGACGTACGTTGTTTCTCTTCAGGTGCGATGTACGGATTATCCTCAGCTGTAGTTTGTTCTGCTGCCTCAAGGTCGTGTGTTGCTGGTTTTTTTGTCTCAGGTTTTCGATACTGAAGATCATCTCCTCTTTTGAGGAGCTCTGCCAACCGAAAGAGATTTCTAAGTAATGTAAAAGTAAAAAGGACTACAGGTTACATAGATTTGTGAAAGGGAAACTGAAAGAGCTCAGGAGGGTAACTTCAATATTTACACTTGTCTTTCTTTCATGCTTCCTTACTTACAGCAGTATGTTCAACCATAATACTACTACTAAAAAGCACTGATATTTTCATTTTCTTTCAGAGATGAAAGAAGACAAACAATATAAAGACAGTTAACCTTCATAGTACATCTGAGCCATACTCACATGAGGAGTGTATCCCAGGTTCAAAATAGGGTACGGGTGTTCTTTCGTAGGCATTCCATCTGGAAAGTGGATTCCACAAACCAAAATGAAAGAATGAAAGAATATAACATCAAGGCACAGAAGATTGTGGAAATACAATTCAAATAAGAGCCTAACTTTAGGCTCACTAGCACAAGGGGGGGGGGGGAACCAAACATTTAGCCAACTGTACATGTAAGCATATAAAGGTACATGTAGGCCTACATTAAGGGGGTTAGACAAGTTGACCGTTGAGATAACTCGACTCGGGACAACTCGACTGTTGAGACAACTCGACCGTTGAGACAACTCGACCGTTGAGACAACTCAACCGTATGTGCGTTAAATGGAAAGACAAGTTGTCTGTTGAGACAAGTTGCCATACTGTGCATGGTGACTTCGAGTCGAGTTGTCTCAACGGTCGAGTTGTCCCGAGGTCGAGTTGTCTCAACGGTTGAGTTGTCTCAACGGTCGAGATGTCTTGAGTCGAGTTGTCTCAACGGGTGTTGTCTGACATTTCTTGCATTCTACACTAACATGTATATACATGTATGCAGGTCAACTTGGTCCCAAACCAACTCGGTTCTAGGTCAACTCGGTCCCAAGTCAACTTGGTCCCAAGTCAAATCTGTCCCAAGTCAGCTCAGTCCCAACGGAGAAAATTAATGTACCTCTCTTGTAAGTTGTAATATTGATGAATGCAATATGATTTTCGCCCCTAGTGCCTTGGTAGAGAATTGTTTCCATAAATTTCAAAGTTCACTCTTGGGACTGAGTTGACTAGGGACCGAGTTGACCTGGGGCCAAGTTGACCTGGGACCGAGTTGACTTGGACCGAGTTGGTTTGGGACCGAGTTGACTTTAAACCTATATGTTTAGCATGTTAAGTGCAAGTGCCTTTTGTTCTCTTACTCTTACTAGTTTAGTCTTGTGGAACGGGGTCCTAGTATTTAAACTACACAATAACCAGTGCTTTGGGCCTTTGTTTGCAATTGCACGTTTTATTTTAGCATGTTTTGTTAGACTTTGGTCATGTTATTGTTAGTATAAATTTATATATAACTTATTTTTTATAACACGAACAATATGTAAAACAATTAACACATACCACACAATGTTTCTTGGGAACAAAGTGCTTTAGAGACATGTTTTGCATCCACTGCCGACAAATTTCTGCCTGATCTTCACGGTTAGGAAATCTGTGCAACGAAAACGGCTTCGTGCATGTACACTCGCTGTGTATCAAAGGCGGGTGAACATCACACCGAGTTTTTTTTCCAAATTTGGATCTTTTTACTGCTATTTGAGCAGTTGTAGACAGCACAGTTTCTTCCTGAGTGTCCCTTCTTACTTGCCTTGGCAATTTTAGTTCATGTGGTCATCCAGATTAATTCAAGAAATTAGGAGTAGGGCAAAATTTGTAATTTTGTGTTGACTTCAACATTATGACAAATAGGCCTTCACCGTCGCTCATCATGACCGTGTTTATATTATGAACTCGATGTACACAGCAGGGACCTGGTAGTAGGGCGCCCTCAAGCATTTTAGTAATCTGGCTGGAGTCGTGTATAGGTCAAAGGGTTTTGGAATTATTGCTAATTAATTATTCATATGCATGAATGGTAATTCTGCTTTGTGTACACTATGTATGGCATGCTGCGCCAGAAATTTTTTCGCTGCGCAGCAAGCCGTGGTCCAAATTTTATGTTTTTGTTATCAAAAAAGATGCGCAAGCCTCGAGGCTGAAAAGTCAGATTAGCTCAGGTTGTGAAACAGTTTTTTTCAAGGGTATTGCGGAAAAAGTTGAGGGGGTGGGGTGAAATCCCCCCCCCCCCCCTTAGGGTTAATTGTGCATTTTTATGAGCCTAAAGCTACCAAAATGTTGGCACTGATCACTATGCGACTTTGTACTGCACATCTCTGTCCTATTTGTCTATAAGATGACATAAACATACAACAAAACTTTACCAAAACAGCCACATGTTTATCCACAAACAGCTAGTTTCAAGTTGAAATTTTCAGTTGATCAATGAGAACGAACCAGTTGAAGGTGTAAATTGAATTCAAGTATGATCAAATTGAAACAGAGGAGCAATTAGGTCTCCATACACATTGTAATGTCACAGCTCAGTTTTATCTCATGACTACAAAAACAAGTAAATAAATGAATAAATAAATTGTATAAAACAATCATCGCAGTTCGTATACACGCGACTGGTCTCTTGCAGAAAATAGGCATCGTTGAAGAACTCATTTAAAGAAAAAAATATTTATTTTAAAAAATGTTGACATCTTTTTTAAAATGTTGACATATGTTTAAAAAAAGTTGTGATGTATTTCATAATGTTGGCAGTTGCCATGTAGGGTTGAATAAATTCCGCTTCGGCGTGCCATAGCCTACTTCAATGAATAAGCCAGTCAATGTTTAGTGATACATGTACATTTACAATGAATAACAATCCTGAAATGCAAAAGGGGGCCTAAGATCTTGGTCATCGAGGGACGAAAAATTGTGAAACTGGGTACATGCATAGAACAACTTAACATGAAAATACCCAAGAAACTTCATGACTATAGGTCAGATGGTTTTGGAATTATGGCTAAGTAATTATTCATATGCATGAATAGTAATTCGGCTTTGTGTACACTATGAATATGGGAGAATGAAGTTTTTTCATGGCACGTAGCGCCGTAATTTTTTCGCTGCATGACAACCCTTGGTCGGAATTCTATTTTTTTGGTATCAAAAGATGCGCAAGACTTGGCGAAAAAGTCAGAACAACTCGGGTCGCTAAACATTTTTTTCAAGGGTGTCACAGAAACTCCCCCCCCCCCCCCGGCCCTTTAAGGGTTAATTGTATATTCTTTTAGGTATATTTGTATATTCAGATCATAATATGATGCAAATGCTTTGTAAGATGGAACTTGAGGGCAGAATACTTTAAAAATGCCCAGTTTCTAAAGTGGGGTTCATTTAAACATTTTTGAAATTTTGCAATAAAGTGTTTTTTTTCACGTTTCACAGTTATTGTATACATTAAAGTATACCATTTTGATGTTGCCTTGTAATGATCCTAAGTAGTAAAGCTCAGTACACACTTCATGCAAATGCAAAGCCAATGTGCTCAACTTTGCGATTTTGCCGAGCAAAACATTAGTATGACATCACATTGGCGTTCCCTTTTGCAGTGAGTATGAATCAGCCTTCATATATTTTTTTTCCTTCAGGGATACTATTGTCAAGATGAGGCTGACTTTGAAGCCTGGTGCAGAGACATACAACAGGTACATGTACATGTATAAACATACAGTCATTGTCATCAGTGCGAGAACATTCAACACTTTTGAAGGTGGGAGGGTCAAAGCGCGGGGGTGGGGGGGGGGGGAATAAACCTCATTCGTCGATAGGGCACGCCCTTTTCCATGAGTACACTATTGTGTGACCTACCAACAGTGGGGGGGGGGGGGGTGCCATTCCCCCTTTGGATAAAGTGGGGGAGGGAGAATCAGCGGCTTTTCACAAAAACATAAACACTAAGCAAACAATAAGATTTGTAATGATCAGTTATGTAAAACTTTAATAAGGAACTTAAACAGGTTGCTTTATTTTTTTTTAAAGATTGAATATATCATCTAAAGCCATCTTACTTTATAAATTTACTTCATACCTTGCAGGATATGTTGACATCTTCTAATGAGCTAACCATCAACACATTTCACATCCAGGATTATTTTTATTTGCAGGTAATAAAGGAGCAGGATTTAAGTCCAATGTTTGAGTTGACTGAGGAACGACCATCCCATTGGCCACCATTTGACCCTGGCCAATCCAGTATGGACACCAGCTTTGGTATGTCATTATGTAGTTTGTTTATTCAAACAAGAAGCAAATCAATATTGCATCTAATTGTTGTGAAAACATTCCTATGACATGAAACTAAGTCGTCCACTGTTTACCTTGTGAAATGAGTCACTCTTCTGACAAGCATTAATTTAATTGTTCTCATATGTTCTTTGAGATGGTTTATTCATTTATTCTTTTGAAAATCATCAAATTTTGTTTTTGTTGTTGCATGACAACTACTATTAATTTTTGCGACCTTTAGGAGGTACATAAATGATTATTTTATTTTTGATGGATTTCATGTACTCTGAAAAGCCATTGGGAATTGTGCAATCAAAATTGAGCTGTTAGATACATGTATTTAATGGGAAGCTGCAGTTCCCAGCTAAATTACTTATAAACATATTTTGTTTGCTGCTGTCTAGTGGTTGTTCATTTAACTGACCCGTTTTTTAATCAAGTTTTCCCCCTTAAATCAGTACAGATTTAAATAGATTTACATTTTGTGGTGAATGTCAGTAACACCGTATCAAAAAATGAATGGCTATTACAAGATTGTTTTTTAAAAAAAAGCTTTAGAAAATGTCAATAATTCCTGGCCAGTTACCACCAGAAAATAATTTAATTGCTTATCTTGGTGATTTGATTTGATTTTAAAATAATAACTGTTGTACATCAGTATTCAGTGATTCCAAACAGTCATTCAAACTCATTGAGCATTTACTCCACAAATGAGATCTTCAAATTCAAATAGTTTTACCACATAGATTACATTCTTTCAATTTCGTCAAAGCAAGGGGCAAGAAGTACATCAAAAATTCACTAATCCATTGGCAAACATCGATAGTTGAAAAATTAATGAAAGGGATATTTCCAAATAAGAAAAACATTATGTACACTTTGATAACTTAGTTGCACCAAGCTGTAATAGTCGAGTGTTTCGAGTAAATGATGATGGAAAAGCAAAGACAGGTTATGGCCAGCTTTGGTATGTTATTCAAAATTGGTTTATATCAAATGGATGATAACATCCAAGTTAATTATCCTTGAAAAGAATGTGCACTAAATTGTCTTTTCAGAAATAAGAGATGAGGTAGAGGAGGACCCTACGTATGATTCTGATGAGGAGTTTGAGCTTTTGTAAGCAACAGGAGAAGTGCCTTGCAAAGTCTTTTCACAGTGCTAATGTCTTCAACATCCCAACAATGGGAAGCTCTTGACAACCGTAACCTGTGATGCACTACTACATCCCTCATTAAATGGTTATTGCTGACAGAAACCATGAGATACATACTAGATCACACGTTTGAAAAGAACTGGCTTTGGATTTATTTGGTCTTAATCCGTTTTTGAGACTTTGTTTAGCATTCCTTAATAATGTGTTAAGAGCAGGCAGCAAACAAGTGTGCAAAATCTTTGTACTTGTATTATCAAGAGGCATTAATTCCTATGTAAACTGGTGATGTTTAGGCTCTCCCTCCCACAATCCTGCACAATCCTGTTATTGCGCAATTTGATTTATTGCTTCAAGCTTTTGGTGTTTATGACTGCTAAGCCTCAACCACCCATCTCAACCCCCCCCCCCCCCCCCCGATTATCTTGGGATTTTAACACCCAAGTTACTCCCCATCAAAAATCCTGCATCTACCACTGACTGTATATGGGTGAATAAGACATAAATGCATTACATTTTTGTATTCCATGAATGTAAGAATAATTTGTTCCTGTGTTATTCATACTTAAAACTATTAAGCTCGGTGGTCGAATGGCAAGACGTCTGCACTAGAAAGCAGGAGGTCGTGGGTTTGGGTCCAACCGGAGTGATTTTTTCCAACGTTCACTCGGGAGGTAGCACACTGAGTATATTTATACGTCGGTAAAGGGCAAGACCTTATATTGAAAACTATTTCTGTGATGCCACACTATTGTTTAAACTGTAGATTATATTGCATATCTATATATAGACAAATCTACAGTTGACAAATCACGATTCTACAGCAACTTATCACTTTCAATATGGCTTGGTAAATACTAATATTTTCGTTAAGGATAATACACGCGGAGCGCACCGCTCGTGGGTGAATGCCGCGCTACCGTGTGTATTAACCTACTTAACACCCTCCAAGAATTCCTCATTATTGCTTGAACGAAGGCCTTTGTACATCTTCAGTGTTGAATTTGATAAAATGGGAAAATCAGTTTTGTTTATTTATGAGAAAAGAACAATGACGTCACATCATTGTTATTATTTAGTGAATATCATTTAAAAGAACGGCAGTCGTCAAGCTGCCACAGTAGCCTAATGGTAAACGAGATGAGCTATGGATGCAATGGTCCCTGGTTTGAATCCTGCTATGTCTATTATCCAGCGACCATTTTTTTTTAAATGAAGGGAAAAAGGAGAACGAAAATATAAGTGTCTTGCTGTGATTCTGTAAAATTACTGAATTATACATAAGTGGCTACGCCATTCGTCAGATGCCGAATGGCGCGCCGTGCTCCATTCGTGCAAAATAATGACGAGGAAAAAACAAGTATGACGTCACAGGAGGGTGTTAATATTTAAGACAACACCTAGCACTGGATTAACGATCTCAGGCAGATAATATGACCTTTAATATCAAATGACTTAATATAATTGAAGTGCTTTTATGGTGCTTTCCATTGTATCAACAATCTCAAAGCCCTTTACAATTATTCCCCCAGTCATCAGGCCACGAGACCACTCGGCTGAAATTCATTCATCTGTCCTCACAGGTACCCATTCATACTCCTGTGTGGAGAGAGGCAATTGCACACCATCATACTGGAGTCATACACCTTAACCACGGGACCATGGCGTTTTGTTCCATAATGTCCTCCAAGCTTAATTCCAAATTATAAGACATACCATTTTCTCAAAGATGATCATTACAATCTTGAAAACATTTCCATTAAGTTTTCAAATGTGGTAAACATTTGTTCAAGAATTCTATACATTATACTTGGTGAATGTTGGAGCATCCATGATAGTTCTCTTGTACAGACGCATAGTAGAAGATGGGTGACTGGTTGTTTAGCAGATCACCTGCTGTCTTTGTTGCTACTGGCGTGAAGCTACAGAGTCTCAAAGCAAGCCGGCCAGCTTTGTCACAGATGCCGCCACACGTCGTCTGTTGGTTTTGCAAGGGGCCCGGGGATGCAAGTAGAACACTTTGAGGATGTTGATGGGTGACTGATATACTCCTCATAATTATAATCTCAGAATACATTTATCAGTCATCTCAAGATTTTCATAGGCATCCACAACTTTTGAGATAAAATAAAAAGACTATCGTGATCATTTAGAACTTCTTTTCGTAGTAGTTGCGATGTCCTTAAATTTAAATTCACGGCCGTTTGTAAGGGACAACACCAAGAACATTGTTCTCCATTGTCTAATCATTTCTAGGCGCGGATCCAACCCCCCCCCCCCCAGCTCTGTCCAAAAAAAAAATTATCATACACATTTTTAAAATATAAGTCGGAACCCCCCCCCCCCCCCCCTGCTGTGACACCCAAATAAAATTATACTGGTATAATGTCCGCCTGTTCAAAATACGGTACCCATTCTGTAATCTAGTGTTAATAATCGTCGAATTTGAACAGTGCCCCTATTGAAAGAATATGGTACCAGCCCCCCCCCCCCCCCCCCCCCCCCCAGTTTTTTATTTTACGGAGGCCAAGTGCCTGGAGAAAAAACCTGTGTACATTTTCAGATTTTTTTGGCTGATGAACCCCCCCCCTGCGAAAATTCCTGGATCCGCCCCTGATTTCACAATTTGCAGTGTAGTGTAGATTGTATAAGCAATAGTTGTATACTTAACTCATCCCTAAGTAAGTTAACTTTAGTGTACATGTAGTTGATTAAAATGCGTGATATACCAGTGCGAGACTGTGGCACATTCTTGGGTTATACTTTCTACACGAGTTTAAATTAAAACCATAACTAGGAAATTATGAGAAAAGGCATTTGATTACTGAATGTTAAAAAGTCACTTAAAAATACATGTACTATTACGAGCTTCCTTTTCGGAACTCAATGCATAACTTCAATCTCAGTTATAACACTCTAAACCATTACCATTACATAATGTTTATAAATGATGCGCGATAAATTTGTTTAGGAGTACATCATTGCGCGAAGATGCAAACCACTTTTGCAACTTGAGCACTTGCATTGCAGAATGTAACGATACACAGCGTACACTCTCTCGTTGTTTCTGCATCGAAGACGAACGGCCTTCATGGCAGATGTTCCGTCTTGGCAGCTTATGCACCGATATTGGAACGGATGTCTCAAGACACTTCTGAAGCCAATCACTGGGTCTGCTGAAGACGTGCCTTCACAGAAGCCAGCACACCGTGACATCAACACAACCTGAGACAACGAAGAAGCCAGTTTATTATCCACTAACACTAGTACACAAATAGTTGTTACGCATTAGAAACGGCTGAACGTTACATATAATATTGTTTTCCCGGCCAATTTCCGAATTTTTCTGATCAGTTTCATTATTGGCCATTCAATTTCGCGTGATTTTGACACATCGGATCAAATTGGGTTTACTTTATTGTTAGGGCATTCAATTTCAAGTTTTGTTCCTAATGTTTGTTTTCTTTTTGGGGGGCATTCTATTTGGTGCTTTCAAGACTTTATTTGCAGCATTCTTACATTAATCTTTTGGTCTGAAAACCAGACTAGTCACCGCCCCGCTGTTCGCGAGCACGGTGCTGTATACAGACACATACAACGTCAACCAGTTTATCGTACATTGAAAACGACAGGGAAAACGTATTCGTACTCCGTCGTGTCTGATGTAAACAACCAGGTTTTTTTTCGTTTTTTCTCGGGAACGGTAAGACATTAGGTTGTTTTCCTTTCCACAAGATGTTTGAAAAAGTATATAAGTAGACAATCCAAAACATGACATTTTCGGGGATTTCAGGACCCACCATCGGGCCTACCTTTTCGCTGCAATGTTTCTTTGGATGCCGGATGGTTTCTACGTTAAAATATCTTGTGCACATTCCGTTGTCTTCGAAAGCTGTCGCTGCTGAAACAAAGAAACTTAACGCCAGTAGAAAGTTCAATGCAAAGCATAATTGCTGACATCCCGCCATGACAGTTTTTCAATGTAGCGTACATTTACCAGTAGTTGTTTCTGCTCATTGGCGAGTGTGAGCGTTATCCCGTTTCATATCATTTAGTTGAGCTGTGCGATCACATCTTTCACGGTTTCCAACCTCGTCCACAAATAAACCTTGTGATTTTCTTGATCAATAAATATGCGCCCCACAGCGGCTGCCACTTAGTTCATTATGTGGACTTTTTAAGAGCTTATGCGCACAAGCAATTATCATCGTGATGCTTGGAACAGGTGGATTCACTTTTTAAAACTGGGAAACCTGAATGGAGATGTGATATGCACCCAGGATGGTATTACCAACCTTTATACTGTGCTACAATCGAAATTTCCCGCATGATTAATGTCACAACCTATTTCAAGTCGTTACACTATGATGTCTTCCAGTACTATAGCAACTATTTTTTTAAAACCCCAACTGGGCTATATTTTGATCTTTTATAAGAAAGAATGGCAAAAAGAAATGGGAAATATGGAAGAATGGGCAATCGGGAGGATCGCCGGAGGGTAAAACACTGCGGGAGTATGAACCGAGAGGTCAAATGTAATAAGGGGAATTCAAAATAAAGACACAATCCTCAAGGAAAGGTCAAGCTACTTTAAAATGCCCATGCAATTATTTTTTTTTATAAATACTTAATACAATTCCTGAAAATCAACTTTTGTGTCCCATTTAACCTTATTTTCAATTACCGTTTTGCCATTTCAAGGGTATTCTAAAGTGCCTTGTTTACTTCTATGCTAAAAATGCAATTTCCATATTCATGAACCAAAGTGCGATGTCATTTCAGGCAGAAACCTCAATCTTACAGCTATTTCAGCACCAAAAGTTGCCAGAAATTTGTATGTTTTGCTGCTGGCGTAAAGGTTTTATTTGGCGATTCACTATTGTTTCAGTACACGGCAGTTCAATGAGTACAATTTTATCACGGATGTTTTCATTGATCAAAATTTTGGGTGCACAATTTGAACTGAAAACCCCCAAATTGAACGGTGCCTTCCTGAATTGACATCACAGCAATAACGCCCTCAATTGTCCGGAAAGTGTGCATTTCAAAAAAACAAAAAAAAATGTTTAAAGAATTCTACTTTCAATCAAATTAACCATAAGGAACGTCAAGTAGCTTTCATACATTTAAGAGGAGTTAGAAAGTTGCATAAAATGCGTTCCTAAGAATTATTCATTTCATGAACGCTTTAAAGCATTAACATGGTTTTTCATTATGTCCACAGGTAACTCATAAACAAAAAACACGTTCATAAAGAAAATCGCTTGTATTGTACTACCTGATGACGTCACATGATAATATTTACTACTCTGTAGGATTGATGTTCAGTACAAGTTCCAAGTTATAATACACTGTATGAAGCGTTTTGAAGAAAGGTTGCGGAAAATATATCGTCCAAATCGCACCCAAAAGGGAGATTAACAGCCAGATCGCCAAAAATTGGGTTCATTTGAGCTTTTTTGAGCTCAAATAGGCCTACTAATTCGCCCGGGCGAAATATAGTAATAGTCTTGGGCGGAATAGCCCTTATTTACGGGTCGGCCTTATTAAATTGAAAGAGAGGTAAAATCTTCATTTTGGAACTTGCGAATGGAGATGAAAGCAATGAAATTAAAGTTAATAAGGGGAAAATGTGTGTTTGGGAGGTATCAAACACCCTGTTTAGTGGAGTCTGGATGAGTGATAATAATTACCTGAGGCGTCTCGGGTAATTATCACCAATCCAGACTCCAACCGGTCTTAAACAGAGTGTTTAATACCGACCAAGCACATATTTATTCTCATTCATAAATACCTTTTCGGTAAAAAAAAAATGAATGTTTTCGGTCCAAAAATCTAAACAAGTAAAAAACTAGACGTTTGTTCAACAATTTTACTTCATGTTTTATGCAACACCCCTCTGACTATAATAATTATGTCCTTCTACAACTCCTTACATTATAAGGAGATTGGCGTGTGCGTCGCGTAGCTTGGCTGACGTAGTGTGAATTTTGGACTATGAAATGCTGATTCACTGGTAGTATTGCGCATGCCTACATGAGGAATGTGAACGTTCACCCAATGAATCGTTAAAGCTATATTCCATCATTTGCAGCTATCCGAAAAGTAACTGACGAATTAGTGTTGAACATACTTGGGTTGAAAGATAGTAAGGGGACTAAACTCCCTGTGAAATTTATTCTTTCTGGCATGCTGTCATTTTGAATAAATCAACGAAAGAAGGTTTTCCAACGGTGCGTCTTAAGCTTAAGAGGCATGATATCGTTGGACATTTTCCGTTTATAGTAGTTCGGGTTTTTTTATTCAGCGAAGCACGCGCAAGCTTTGGCACGACGCACACGTACTACGAGCGCGCGGTTGCTATAATTCGTCGGATCCAGTGCGCGACGTCGCGTAGCTGGTCAAGGCCCACGCGTCTTGATCCGGACACGTGACGCGCCCCGGATGCTGGCACGTCAACCTCGTTCCCCATGGGTACGATCTTGCTGCGCCATGTTGTTTCCCATCATGCCTTGCGCGATCTTAACCCCTGGAATTGTGTAATTTAAATTTGTCAAAATATGGCAAATTATAATTAGGCTGCAGTTTATCCGTTTTACGTGCCGACGCCATCTTTAAAATGTTAAAAGTTGTGATTTTGAAGAATCAATCCTTTCAAACATAACGTTTGGACGTTGCGTTATTTAGCAAAGATTTGTATTAAATGTACGTACCCATTTCGTGCCTTTACAACCACAGATACGGGTGTTTTTTTAGCGAAAAACGAGGCTGCCATAATCCATATCGTACAGGCATCGCGACTTTTGAATAACATTTTTTTTCGTACGTGACGTTACCATTACGTGCAAAGCACAAATGCGCGCGCAGTACGCTGTGAATGGCCAATCAGCGTCATTTACGTCATCATCACAGCCAGGGGTTAGTGTAGGAACGCGCACGCGCCCATGGAGTCGAGGCTGCTGGCACGTAAAAAGACTTTGCCGCTCACTGGATAGTCTTTTTACGCGCCAGCATCCGGGACGCGTCACGTGTCCGGATCAAGACGCGTGGGCCTTCACTAAAGGCTAGACATCGCGTAGCTGCAGTCAGCTCAGCGAGAACGTGTCTCTGACGTAGTCTGGTTCCCAGACCTGACAATTATTCCCGACTCTCACG